ACGGACAGAACAGACAACTATTGTAATTCATTTAGCGGGTAATTTGGTATATCATTCTCATTGCATCTGTGTATCAATTTCTTGTATAGTAGGTTTCACGGTATAGTCTATCCTTCCCAATTGGAACGGCAATAAAAATAAGAGCACTACGAGGGATGTTCATGATCACTGCCCGGCAAATGGAAAATGTATATACTATCAGTGCTTTTATGTTCAAAGCGTCCCTGGTACAGTCATAAACATTTCTGGCCTGTGGCCCCTAGTCGCCCAGATAGTTAGTAAACGTGCTATCAAATGTAGTTGAGGAATAAAGGCTCGGCTAGCTGGACTGGCTGAATACTAATTATTTGGCCGTTTCACAATATTTCTTTTCATCAGTGCCGTATGTTCGTGGGGTTAGGTGAGGTAGTGAGTGATTTTGCAAACCGATTTTTGAAAACTTTTTCTAGATATCAATTACCCTAACACCAAACTGATATTTTTCCACTCGACGAGCGTTTCGCTAAAAGGTTAGCATCTTCAGGAGAAGCAAACTGATACTGAATCTAAAGACAAGGGTTAGCTGTTATATATAAACCTAAAGTTTTTTGGTCCGATGTTGACTTTGTTTGTTAAATGATGATTATCCTAATTGATTTTTCGGTAATTAACTAGTGGAACCACTACCTGCAAATTAATTTGTCCGCTTTTAAATCTATTGTTGACAAATTAATTTGCAGGTATTGGTTCCAGTAGTTGATTATCGAAAAATTAATTAGGATAATCATCATATAACAAACAAAGTCCACTTCGGACCAAAACACTTTAGGAATATAAACAGCTAACCCTTGTCTTTAGATTCAGTATCAATTTGCTTCTCCTGAAGATGCTCACCTTGTTAGCGAAACGCGCGTCAAGTGCAAAAATATCAGTTTGGTGTTAGGGTAATTGATCTCTAGAAAAAGTTTTCAACTTTTACACCAAAGGTTACAATCTCATCATTTAAACCGATTTTTGTGAAAATTTTAGTGTTTTTGGGTACTTTCATCAATATGGTTTTCTGGAGACCTTTTGAAACAAATGATAACATTACGTGTGAGGAATCTGTGTCAATCGACAGGGATCCGGAATTTGAAAATAAGGATTTACATGTTCAAGTTTAGCGAGTAATTTTAAATATTCATGAATGCTTGAAGAAGGAAAACTGTCACACTTCACAGAATGCTATTGTGAATAGAATATGCGAGTCAACGAAACTATCTCGTTCGACAGTTCTTCGAGTCATCAAAATAGGGGATGTCATTGACCATGCAATGAAACGAAAACAAAGGAATAAAGAATTTGCAAACGATGATGGTGCTACAAAAGATGTGTTTCGGCGAACAATTTATGGTATATACCAAAAAAATGAAGTACCAACCTTGGAAATGATTTGGTATAAATTACTCGACTATCAAGATTATAATTACAAATCTTCAGAAACTCTACGAGGTGTCTTATTGTCTTGTGGTTTCAAATATAAAAAATTGAACAATCGGATGGTCATAATGGAATCGACACGCATTGTTCAACTCCGACAAGAATATTTGAGGCGAATGAAAAGCAACCGAGAATCCAGCAGACATATAATCTACCTTGACGAAACTTGGTTTGACACCCATGATGCCAAATATGCCTGGGTAGACGACACCAAGTATTGTGCTTTGAACACACCTTCTTCCAGGGGAAAACGTGTTATAATTTTGCATGCCGGGAATGAAAGTGGTTTCGTACCTACGCTTCGCTTATGTCGGCCAAAAATATAAAAGATTCGTCTGCTGATTACCACGAAGATATGACTGCGGCTTTATTCGAAACCTGGTTTAGTGACCAGCTTCTCCCAAATATTCCTCCAAACTCGGTTATTGTTATGGAGAACGCTTCGTATCACTCTCGGTTATTGACTAAAATACCAAACAATAACACAAAAAGGCAGATATTGTTGATTTCATGCGAAATCATGACATGGAAATACCCGAAAAGATTCCAACGAAAAAGGTATTACTGGCGACCATAAAACAACGTAATTTCAAAAAAGAGTATATTATTGATTAGATATGTGAAACACGTGGTCATATTCTCTTACGTTTGACTCCATACTATTGTGTGTTCAATCCAATTGAAATGGTTTGGGCCACAATGAAAGAAAGCTTGCGGAAATGTAATCAGTCACCGACTTTGAATGCTGTGGTGCTTGACAATATAAGGCGAGTGGTGAATGAAGTAGGTAATAGTGATGTGTGGAAGAACTGTGTGGCCCACGTTATAAAAGAAGAAAACAAATATTATGTGCAAAGTTCCATAAAACCAATCGTTATTCAACCCGATGATGATTTTTCTAGCAATTTTGTTGGCCTCTACTATTTTGTGTGACGAGAATTCGGTGTGATTATTTGTGTTTTCATTGTATTTCAGAGTTTTCGACTCGGAAATCAACTACCTTAAATTTCGAAGTTTTTCATAATTATCCATGGCGGAAAAATTCAGTTGAGATACCTTTTTCATGGGGTGATCAATTGCTATGATTGTAAGAATAAGTAACTGAAAAACTACCACTGAAAAATAATATGCCGACGCCTATGTCGAGGCGGGAATTTCTCTGTGCTGTTCCAATTGGTATTGGAAATACTATATATGGTATTGGCTAAACGATTATAATAGCAATTAGACCCTCAAGTTGTAAAACCCGAAATCACAATATTACACTACACTACACTACACAATAGGATTAAAACAGATGGGATTTATTGCAGTTGATAAACCAATACCGTTTAGAGTGAAACATAATATAAATAGATTATTGGAAATTTTATCATAGTTGACATAGGTTATTCATTCATCAGAAAATCAGAGACAAGGCAAAATATTTCTCAGCTTTAGATAAAGCATCATAGATGTTACATTCGCATATTTTTTACAAAAATTATTTACCATGGGGACTTTCTTTAAGCACTTCCTATCTTTAAATTTTGTATTCATATTGTAGTAGATCATGCCCGGGGGAAAGTAGCGCCGGCCGCCACTGGTAGCCATAGGAAAAACGTAACGCAGCTAAGAGCGCGATGACTCCCTGCCGCTCGAGAAGCAGCAAGAAACATGCTACCGATGTCGATGGAACTTCGGCGAAAATTCTACGATGTTGCTGCGAGAGTATACGGACAGTACAGTACACAGTGAAGTGGACGTTACTGTGCGTTACGCGAAGTAATCTAGTAAGGCGATAGACATTCAAATAACTGTTGAAGTTTCAGTGTTCAAGTTCAAGTGTTTGTTGTTTTTAAAGTGAAATAAAGTTAAGTTTGATTATTCAGTGTGGTCAATTATTGGTCCACCCACGGGGAAAACGTAACAGTATTTATCCAAGTGGTCAAGTTGGAGCGCATCCGAAACGTACAATCTTCCATTACTCTGGCATATGAATCAGGCGATCTCGGTGGCCAGTTCATATCACCTCCACGTTAGATGACCATGCTCTCAAATTGCTCGTGCAGAATATCAAATGTAGCATGAGCTGTGTGACACGTAGCGCCGTCCTGTTGAAATCACATGTCGTTGGTGTCCAGATCATCCAATTCAGGCCAAAAGAAGTTGATGGCCTGACCAACGTCGTTGTCAAAGAAATATGGACCGATGACACCGCCAGCCCAAAATCCAGACCAGTGACTGCATTGGATGCTCTTGGATCTCATGTGGATTGGTATCGCTCCAAATTCCACCCATTCATCCAGAAATGGGCCAAATCGCTGAAGATGATTTTTCGATGAAAAATAGGGTCAGTTGCCAACTGCTCCAGAGCCCTTTCAGCGAACACACGTCGTTGTCTATGGCCGTTCATCTTCAGTTTCTAGGTCAGTTGAATTTTGTAGGGTGCAGCCCCAAGTCAATACGCAAAATTCGCCCAAGTTGTGGTCTGCGAAAGGCCGAGTTCATGTGAGCGACGCGAAATCGACTTCCTCGGAATCTCCTGCACACTCTCACAGACAGCGGCGATGTTTTCGGCATATGTTGCGTTTCGTGCCTTTTCTATATGCGGATAATAATCATTTAATAGAAAACAAAACTGATAGATCTTTTTCACAAAAGACCAATGATCAGTCGTTGCCGATTATCAGTTGAATAAGAATTCTTGGAGGATCAGTACTAATCCCTTGTGAAAATGATGTTAGCAATACAATTAGTAATTCTATTTTTGGACTTTTTCCACAAATAACATTCAGACCAATGGACTCATGTTTTCAAAAACGCATTTTCCAATGTCTAGTTGGCATTTAATCGGAAGAGAGGTGTACTAATTTCAATTAATCTGTTTTCCAATACGATTCTTCTTTTCATTTCGACATTGTTGTTGCTTCATGCAATTCATTTGGACTGGAAATGAAATCGACAACAAATGGTGATTATTGAATCACTCTGAAATGGGTTTTCACATTATTTCGCAAAATGCTTGGACACGGTAAAGCCTCAGGGTCGAGTTCCAGAATCAACAGCATTTCAAATCAATCGTATGTTGTTCTATAAATGTATCGGTTAGTAGTTTCGATGAATTTACCGAATTTCTCTGCGAAGCTTTCACTTGACAGAAACAATTCAATTACGCGGAAACTCAGTTGGGGTTGAAATTATATATCCAACTTTCAGTTGTTCCGATTTATTCCTCAACAGAATCAATTTTATCTAATCTACTCTACAGATCTGCCGAAAACATGAGCTCTTTCCATGCGGCCTGATCAGAAGCGAAAGAAGCAAGGAAGCCCTTCTTTTAAAAGTTCAGAATTACCTCTGGATACTTGACATGAAACATAGAACACATAGAACAGATAGAGTGATAGAGTTTCACTTTGACAGCTGACTGTTCAGGCTATTTTGTTCCTAATTAATAACCTATGTATCGCCCGAAAATGAAAAATTCTCAGGACCTAATAATAAAAACGAAAAATACTATCAAAACTCATATCGCTTATATTTTCGATATTTTTGCTTACCTCAATGCACGTTTACCATGCTTCTTTAGATGAGACGAAATCCATCACATAATCTGAAAACAACAAAACAAAAATTACAGTTTGTAATCCTCAAAACATTTTAATGGTATCATTTTTTTACAGTGCAATGGCAGGAATGAGGGTCGATTTTATGCCTGTAATGTTTAGGATATAAATGGATCACATACGTGATAAAATCTATAAGACTGGCACATGAAAATTATAAATGAATAAACACGATGAAGGCCGTCAGGTTGGATTGCAGAAAACAGGGCTCGAATGTCACATTCTAAAGATATTTTGTTTTGAAATAAGCATGGTATTACCGAGAGTAAGTTATATCTTGTATAATATTCAACATTAAACAAGCTGAGTGGAATATAAATGGAAAAAAATCTACAAGGATATTTATGATGAATTGTTCTTATTCTCTGAAAGATATTTCTGAAATTTGTCAAGAGTTCAAACCTTTCATTATCTACAATATGAAAACTTCTTGAAAACTTCGGGTACAGAGTGTAAGAAACGCAATTTGAAAATTTCACCTCCAACAGGTACTTCCATAATATGAACTCTCGTACATTTCTATCATGTGTGTTCCACAAGGCCCAATTCTGGGTCCAATGTTATCTCTTTTGTATGTAAACTACTAAAGAATGTAGTTCATGTGACATGAAGGGATCAGTTTTCTCAGTATATTTTAATACCACGAAAATTAACATTTTTAGATTCAGCTGTGACCAGAATAAATGGAAAAACTGCAACATTACTATCAACATGGGTATATTTCGTCAGTTCGGACTTCCATTGTCTAATATAATATATATTGATTTGAAATCCCTGAAAGAATATGTGAAAAATTTAAAAAATGTTTACAGATTCTTGCAGGGATTTCAAATCAATTTATATTATATTAGACAATGGAAGTCCGAACTGACTTAATACACCACGAAACATTGTCAATCACCTTCAAACAAACATGGGTATGATAACAGAAAAAACATTTTGAATTCTTCATGTTTGAATTGTCTTTTCTCTCTCCCTCTCATTTCTATTTCTCAGTCTCCAATCTATTTCATGTCAATTCATTGGCTGCTTCATACTATGATGCACAAGTAAAATCGAGATGTCGTTATGTCATCAATTTTGGGGGAAACCACAACATCAGTAGATATTTTTCTTTTAGACCAATCAACGAATACTATTTGAAATCAGAAACCTTCTTGAAGTACAAAATTCAGTTTTTCCAAAAAATTGTTCTTATAATTATCAATATAACAACTGTGGATTAAATAATCATGTAATAACTATGGCACCAACGTTCGAGTCGTTTTTGAACGGTTTTATTTAGCCTTGACCTAATTGAAGTTTGACCTCTTTCTATTGTCAGATTGATCTGATATTCGGTACACACATTTATAATAGGGGAGCCCAAGCGGGGATTTCGGGATTTACTAAAGCGCGGCAGATTGATTTACAGGGGGATACCTTGTACCAAGTTAAGTACCTCCACCAAATATGAGCCCCATATATAAGGCCGTCTGTGAGGGATAAAGGATCAGATTAGTAAATAAAAAATTGATCATCAAAAATTCTCGAGCGCGTCAGATTAAGGTAGGGTGAGTTAATTACCTGCTAAAAAGTGTATATTCCAGTAATCTGACAATTTGAGAGTGACGCAAAGAAAGGGGAGGGCAACAAAGTTGTAAAAAATAACGTCATTTCGACATTTTCGAGCGTAGCTGATTTTTTTTTTATTTTGAAGGAAATAGTTCAAAGATAACGAAAAATATATAATCTGACGATTTCCGCAAACCGAAATAACAAAAATTCGTCGATAAAGTTCGATGCGTGCAGGTGTGTGATACCTATATTTCATTACGTACAACCACCCACATCATGCAAACGATCAGATCAACATACCAACATTATTAAAAATACGTAAGACATTGATGCTATCAATATCTGACGCGCTCGAGTATGTCCATGCAACAGTATTTCTTCACATATTCAAAAATCTATAGCCGCTTCCCCCACCGATGAAAAGGTATATATTACATAACATTTTTTTCTTCTCATCATCTGAGCTTTGCCACCTAATATGTCTCAATGACGCTCGAGTAAATCCCCATTTTGCATCGTGGGCTCCCCTGTTATTAGTTTTGATGATAATATAATTTAATTGATATTGCATTATTGTAAATCCAAGATGCCCGAAGCTACAAAATGTCGGATCTCATATTTTTTCCAACTACTTCAATAAGGTTGACTAGTACTATAGTAGTACACTATGAAAAAGATGCAAATCCAATATAATCTATACACAGAACTTTGTCAACTCAGAATTTGGATACAAGCATGGGTCTCCCACCCAGGTCAAGATTTTGTATCGTGTCGAGGACCGTATGGCATTAAGGTGGATAAAAATCAGAAACTAAAAACTTGAAAATAAAATTAAAAAAAAATCATGTTGAACGGTTTTATCGAAAATATGATAAGAATGATGTAGATAATGTACTAAAAACTAAAAAATAATTCGGGAGGTAGCAGTCATCACACCACTATCCTCAATAATCTACTGTATTGATCAGTTGAAAAAATAACAAAATCGTTGGGTGAAAACGAGTTCTTCCTTTATTTGTTTTTCTATAGAAGACGAAAAAATTTGGAGATTCATAAGTAGGTTTGATTGAATTGAATAAAAGAACTAACGCACAAATTCTAAGCTGACTTGAATTTAATAGAGAAAGAATATAAATCAAACACGAAATATATTTCACTAAAATTTTCTTCAAATTGATCCGCCACTGTGAGGATGACGCAAATAACCATAGAGGCATAATATATTTACGGTAAAACAGGAAATGACTATAAATATTCCGCATAAACTAGAAGTCATTTTCAGATTCAAATCAACTACCCACTCACTGCAATGAAAATCACAGACACATTTTCAATCAAATGAGAAAAATGTTCATTACCTCAAGATATCTCCGTATATATATCCGTAAACCAATTCCAATCAAATTGTCATAACCATATCATAAATACTCTTTAGTTAACTGCATTGCCTTATTATCAGCAGTGTTATTTGCCAATTGATAATATTTTTTTATAGATAATAGTTATTTGAACAATTATAACACATCTCCATAGACTACTTACATGTTTCAATATTTTTCAGTATTTATTACTAAAATTACAAGTTCATATACAATTATCCCTTTCACAACTTACTTAAAGCAGTTGATGCTTGCAACTGGATACAAATTTCTAGTTTTTTTGAGAAATAGCCAGCTATTGAAAGAATAATACTATGATATTTATTAGCACTTTTTATTTAACATAACAGATTAAATATTTCCCACAGCATGAGCTTTTTTTATCAGCATTTATTAAATTATTCAGAATAGTCCAGTTATTATAGTATCTCAATTCAAAGAATGCATTAAAATGGGAACAACTATCTGATAAACTATTTAGGTTAGGTGTAGGGAACCCCTAAATGAAATCGAAGCTGATTGAATTTTATATTGTTCAGATCAAAAACATACAGGGTGTTCTGTTTGAAATAACAAAGTTATCTTTGCCCGAAATTATAAAAAAGTGACGATGATTTTTTACCATTCTGTATAATATTGAGAAACGGGTTTTATCGAAATATCAATAGCCCAAAACCTCTTTTATGCTTGGTAAAAATTCTAAGGGATGATTTCTATACATTTTCGATGTTTCTTTAGTTTCCAATTGTACCCAGCAATTTCATAAAAAAATCAATAAATCGAGAACGGTTAAGTTAGGTACTTTGTACCTTTTATGAAAACATATTATTTTTTTCTGAGCTATTCAAAAGTATTCCATTTAAAAAAACCCAACTTCGATATGTTCCACTTTTTTGAGCTACCCTGTAGACTCCAAAATAATTTCCATTTGCAGCCTTAATCAATATACATATAATAAAGTTGAGAAATTTTCGAAAAAATTAATGATTTGGTTTACAGGGACCATGTCGTGATGGGTTCCCCACCTTGTATATAAAAGCTAAACGCATTTATATCTCAAACTTTTTTCATTGTTCAATAATGTCGCTCTCTTGTTCAAAAATTTAAATAGAAGTTCGACGTGACACTGTTTATGACTAGATACTGGATTATATGCACTTGCATGTTTGCATATGTAAATGCATATAATTCTATTTTCATAGCGTTATTGCATATTTTGGTACTTTTTCGTTAACCGTGCTTGTTTCATTAATTATATCTTGGATAAAAAATTACTCAGGCCAATTTACGACTGATGACACTGTGATTTTCTGCAAGATTTGTGAAAAGCGAATACCTTCATCAAAAAAACATCAAATCGAACAACATTCAAAATTTAAACTCCAAAAAACCTTCTTCCCAAAATTGCTTCACATCACCTGTCTAATCCATGGATTACATCCAGTTGCGGAAGAGATCAGAAACGAGATCGGGATAGTCTACAAAAAAAAGTGTTTTTAAAAGTACCATCGCGGGTAGAAGCATATAAAGAGCAGCTACCAAACGTAGCAGTACACCTAGAACCTATGTTAATTTGGAACACAAAAGAAATGTTAAAAAAAATTTACAGTTCAGACGTCAATACAATCAATTCAAGCCAGCTGGCATTTGAGGATCCCTCAATCAAAAAAAGTATAGTTCATATTGAAACACATTTCAGCCATATAAATAACCGATGCAATTCAGAAACTGGAAATTGAAAACCTTCCCCTATGCAAGCCTTGGAAAACATGATTGAACAGAGTAACGCCCTTCCGAGTTCACTATCGTAAAAGGTTCGTGGCAAATTAAATGCAGTTTTATATAAAAACCCCGGTATTGAAAGAATAAATAAAATTGACACATTTATCAACGGCATCTGACAAACCCGGCCTGAAGAGATTCCAGAAATGGTGCCAAATTTCAAGTTCTGTCCGGTAACGTCAGTTGACGCCGGAATGTCATTTTCAACCAATTAATTAATAATAAGAGACAATTGTCACAAGTTTGCTGCAGATAAACCGGAAAAATATGATATTGTTTAGTTGTCACAAGAATTATATTAATAATATACGACTGTACTAAAAAGGCGGTTGATGGAAACTGAGACTGAATTAAACCTTCGAGTAAATTATGAACTTCATTCTCACACATTATAATTGCCACAAAATATCCTTTCATTTCAATCAATCCACCGGAATACACAGACATAAAATACGCAAAACTCGATAATATCAAAGATTGAATTTTGTAATACTTGTTGTATTAACAATTTCAACAAGCGGTTCGTATCCTGTAGTTGTGACACGAATCTGTTAAAATCTAATTAAGGCGTATAAAGATATACCTCATGCAGCAACTAATTATTACTGAATACGATAATTTTTGCATTAACATGATTTTATGTAATTACCCGGAGATATTTCGCCATCACCCAATTAATTGTAGACGCGAAACTTATTGCATTATCTCTCCGAGAAATAACAGAATGACCGGCCATTCGCCGTTTTCTTCGTGGAGCGGAAAAATATGAAAGGAAACTGAATTTCACTCACGGTTGTAGAATTGGGAAATAAACAAAGTAATTTTTAATCCGAAATTATAGCGGTTTCAGATAGCATTCTTCGACTGACCAGTGGCTTCACAATAAATGTCTGTTGAAGGCACATTTTAGAGCTTATGACACAGAATTATAAAATGTCATGAGTTTTTGTAGCTCCATATCTCTATAAATATATAAATATATTCTATTGCATTGTGGTTTATATTGATCGATAGAGAATTTTTTGTACTCTTTACATCGATGCTGTACTTTTCTTTTTCCAAATTTTAATCTTTTTGCCTATTTTCAGCTCATTACTTTATGATGTCATTAGGCGTTTGTCAGCCAATTTTTCTCTACGAATTCAAATCGAACCAAAGCACTGCCAAAAAAGCCCTAAAAATTAAACAGGCATTTGGCAATGATGGTGTTGGTTTGAAGGTAGTTCATTTTCATTAGTTCGGACTTCCATTGTTTAATATGATATAAATTGATTCGAAATCCCTGAAAGAATCTGTAAAATTTTTTTTTAAATTACTGAAAAACAACAATTACATTAAGCGAAAAAACTGAAATTACAACCAAAATAAAATACAAGCAACAACCAAAAAATCAAGTGCTTTCACCTATCCCCTCTTCCCTCTCTCCGCTTCATCGGTTTTAGCGGGAGATGACCGTTTAGCGGGAGATGACCGTTTGGCGGGAGTTGGTCGTGTTCCGCCTGATTAGAGGTTCCCATATGTTGCGTATCTCTACGCTAGCTTAGCTAAATGCGTTGTTGAACAACATATACGCGGCTTCCTTGAATTTTCTCCTAAACCAGTATTCCTCCATGTGGATGATTTCAGCTTGAGCCCCCTGGATTTCATGAGGCTGCTACGGATAGTGTTCCCAGATCTGAAGCAGTTTCTGATGTTATATTTGGACCCAAATCTTCTTATCGGTTGTGGCGGCTTCTTTTCCTTGTGAGGCTCTTGCTATCTGTTCCACCATCACTTTGGTTTAAAACGTATTGGGAAGGTCAATGGGAAGGTCAAAGAGCTCAAAGAGCGGGTGCCCCACGATTTGTTATAGAGGTGATCCTCTGTGACAACAGGAGACGTTCAGGACAGTGGTTAGACAATAAACCCTTGCAGGTTGCAGTGGAGGGTCGAATATCCCACTCTCTTTGGACCCTAACCTAGACATCGATGAGCCACTCAGAAACTTCCTAAAGGCAAAAACTCACCAAAAAATGACCATGGTTACTGTATGGTGGTCAGCGACTGGTGTGATTCATTATAACTTTTTGCAACCGGGCCAAACCATCACAGCAGAGGAGAATAGGGACCGACGAAACAAGCTGAAGGTATGCTGGTTTAGAGAGAGGAATAGGGTTCTCTCCACTATTATTAGTCTAATCAACGAATACTAAAATATTCCTGGAATGAATAGTGTAGAAGACAAAATTAGTACAGATGTAGGAGAAAGTGTCCATAGCAACATACTACAATTGCTGGGAGGTCGTTGTGGAGCTTCGGTAATAGGAAGTCTCCAAAGGTCCCTTTACATAACTTTGGCATCTAACGAAAAAATGTTCATATACTCAAATAATCTACATAAAATCGTCATGATTTCATTAATGGAATGTGATGTAGTATGAAACATGAAAGCCAAAATGATTGTTGAAGAAGCATATTTGCTTTTTTGTGACTGATCAGTCAAAACTTCAAAATTCTTGGAATAAGGTAAGCTATTCTCACAGGATAATATCGCACGGCTTTTGTCAAATAGTCTAGGTTCTTATCTAATTACCAAAACAAGAGATTGCGTCTTCGTTAGTACCTCAATTCCTTTCTATACAATTTAATTTCAATTAAGTAGTAGCCATTTTGAATCTTTGAATCCTANATTAAGTAATCAAGAAACGAAAAATAGCTTGATGATTATGTTTAAAATATGTTTCTTCCCTCAATCAGTTATCGCACCCCTACGAACGAAAACCCTCAGAAGGCGAAACTTGTGCGAACTAAGGATTAACGAGGTCTTACTTTTAACGTACCTTACTGTTTTAAACTCTGAATAAGATTGAATTTCTCAAATTCCTCTATAGTGTCACTCATTTTCGATAATTTCCTTTGTCTTTCATCGGGCTTCATTCCCAGTGAGACTACAAATTTCCAAATGTTACTATGGAAAATTTGGAAAGATTAAAAACGTACTGCGAATTGTACAAACTTCGGAACCCTTAGCAAAACTCACTCAGAACTCAAACATCTGATTGAACAATAATTTTGAATATATTTCAAACTTATCTATTATCGACAACACAGGTGTGAAATTACAGAAAAACTACTTCCTCATTGACATTAATCTTACTTTTAAAACATGAGATCCTGGATATTGTTGCCGTTTCTCTCTCACCACGGCATGTTATGCAGACACCTGTGCCTGTACTATTATATGGAAAATAATAATA